ATTACTCAGGAGGAGGAGGAAAAATTAGGGAAACCAAAGCTACTCCAAATGCTGAGAATTATGTGTTCACAGTTGTCTGTCATATTATCTCCACACGTGCCCATGCTCTGCTGGCTGATGGGCTAATGCTGGTGCTGAGCAGTCGGATGGTGAGCCCCAGCTCGGCCGTGAGGCTGTGCCATGAGGTGTGTGAACCTGAGAGCAAGCCCCAGCCCTGTTCAAGGCATGATACAAGACAGTCTGCAGTGATCCTTTGCTCTGGCAAAGCACTTGACTCCAGCAATTCACATCTGGTCAGATGGCTCCATCAGCAAAGCATGGGCACATCAGGCTTTGGAAGGTGGCCATGGAAAAGCACAGAGCTTGACTCTTGCTACAAGGCACAGTCATGGGATAATACCTGATGACAATCTCCTTGAAATGTCAGTGCTTCTGGTGGAACAGGGCTTTTTATGAGGCAGCCACCTGTTCCTGCTGCATTACCTCATTGCTACTCAAATCAACTGCTGTATCCCCAGCTGGAAAGTAGCTTTAATTAAAATGATTCATTGCTCAATACTGATTTGTCCCCTATTTTGGAGTATATCTTAGAAGATACCACTTCATCAATGGGCTTACACTTTAAGGGGCCATACTCACTGAGGTCAGAATAGAGTGTGTGGATTTTAACCTAATGATGTAGGAACTGTATTTTAAGCTGGGCTTAGCTTTGTGTGTTTACTTATACCTCTGACAGCTGAATGAGGAGTGCCCTGCCTCCAAGCCATATCTCTCACTAGCAGGGTTTTTTTCGGATCCTTGGGAATGGCTTCTCCAATGTATTGTGCATGTTCTCTTCACATCTTATAATGCAGTTTCTAGGTCACTGAGCTAAGAAAAGACTATAGGTGCCACTGAAGTTAAAGGAGAACCATGTTTCCTTAAAGGAGAACCAGCCAAAGGGTGGGCCAGGTTGATGCTACTTAGAGAAATCAATTATTATCATGTACTGTCTTCATGCTGTGCCAGATCATTTAAAGATGAAGAATTATGTTGGCTTTCAGTCCATCTGCAGAGATTTGCACACTCCTGCTTTCAGGCTACCTGTGATGAACAGAGGACGTCAATAAGCATTATTGATCTATCAGTTATTGCAAATCTGTGCTGGGAAGCCAGAGGGGCTCTCCATCAGGTCTTAGTTGGCCATCCATTAGCTGTTGGCAGAGGGGGTAGGTCATAACTTTATGGGTTCTTCTAAAGGCTGCTGTTTGAAGGGCTCTATTCCTTAACGTCCCCCAAAGAGGCGTTGCAGGATCAGGGCTGGGAGGGACCTGGGGAGTCCCAAGCTATTGCTCTCCTCTACCCTGTGTGGAGCAGAAGTGCATGGGCTGGGTGGAACAACTGGGAACTGAGTCCTGGCCAAGGGAAACATGCAGAAAATACTCCAAATTCCTTTTCCTGCCCTCTCATCCCTCTGTTCTCAGTTCACCTCTGCAGCCTGCCTGTGAAAAAGGAGTGCTTGCTGCCAACAGGAGAGGTTTGAGTCATTCTTTGGGGAAAGGGAGTGGAGCCTGGCCTTTTCCACCTGCAAAACTTAATACTTATCCTTTCTGCCAAGAGATTAAGAATGTGGCACCTGCCACATTCACTGGAGCAACAGCTGGTGGTGGATGTCTCACTTGCTCATCTTCAGAGGAGATGCTTTGGGGAAAGGGAGCAGGGACAAAAGGTGCTCCCTTGCTGGGATGCCACAGACATCCCCTCGCCTGGGGCAGTGCAGCACTCCTCTGCCTACTTGGGAAACAAAGCCACCCTGTGAACCTGACAGGCTGGTGTTACAGTCACAGCTCCTTTTCAACATCCAGAAATGGGCCTTGCTGGAGTGCAAAAGCAGCTTTTTCTCCTCCCCAGACCCTCAGGAGCTGAGCCTGAGCCTTAGGTGCCACTGTCACCCAGTGGCTGCCTGCATCCACTGCTCCAAGGTGGGCAGCAGCAGCCCACCAGAGCAGCAGGGGCAGGAGCTGTGGGTGCAGCGTGGCTGGGGGCACGCTGTTTTGGCTGGCTGGCAGCTGTGGGGTGGTCGGAGGGAGGTGGGTTGCAGGACGGCAGGCAGCTGCCTGCATCATGGGGAGCCTTGGCAGCTGCCTGTGCTCCCTGTCATGCCAGAGGCCAGATGGAGCCCTCCGCTGCCATTCCCTTTCTGCAGCTTGGCATGGTGGCAGGGCACGGGTGGTCCTGAACAATTACTCTGCAGTGGGTGAGGGAGTGCTGTGCTCACGGAATGAAGGTCTTTTCTGTTTTGACAAAGACACACACACCAGGCTAAATTCTGCAAGCAGAGATCCTTGTGAAATGCCCATGGGCCTGTCACATTTAAGTGCTGTGGTCACCTGGGTAGCTCCCATACAATTGCTGGGTTTACACCATACTTTAAAGCTAAGCGTGTTGGAGACACTTTTCTTTGCCTCTCTCTGTGTCCCCCACGGGCTCTGGCAAGGTACCAAATAGCTTTGTTTTCTAGCTGCTGGTGGCTGTCATCTCTGCCACTAAATGACTGGCCCACACTGCTCCTGGGGGGTTCTCTGCTTAGGTGACATAGAATCATAGAATGGTTTGGGTTGGAAGGGACCTTAAAGATCATCTGAACAACCCCAGCTTTCAGCCTCTCTGGGGAAGGAGAGGTCACAGCTCCTTTCCTAGCTGCATCTCCCGTTTCCTGTGTAAATGCTCTGGTTTCGGTGATCTTCAGCTACAGCCTGTGTTAGCGTTCAACGCGCTCTTACCTGTTGTCTCTTCAGTCACAGCTATTTAAACGCTGAGATGAAAACCTAACTGTTCTTTTGTTTGCCTGTCCCTCTGCTTTGTTGCACCCCTCTTATGTCTCAGGCAGAAGACGCGGTGCCGCCTTCAAGCATGAAGCGTGCGGCACCCGTGCGGTGCGGCGGGACAAAGCCTCCATCTCCTGGCAGCAGAGCCGCACAGCAGCCGGTTTCTGTCCGCGGGAGTTGTCCCAAAACACAGGCAGGAAGCTCAGCAGGGAAGCAGAGCAAAGCCAAGCCTTTGCGTGGTGTTTCCTGCAGGGCTCAGCCCCTGCGGCCGCGGTGGGGCATGTTGTTCATCTGCAGGCATCTCGGGGCTTGTTCTGGCTGCCGAGGCAGTGAGGCGGTTTCTCTTTGGGTTTTCTGGCTCTGAGACCTCGGTATTTTTGTTCTGGTCCTGAAGAAGGTTCTCACAAGGTTATTTTAGTGCATTCCTGTGTGATGAAGCACCAGCACCATCCAGCATGTTTTCCAAGGCTGACTGGAAGTGAGGTAGCTACCATGCAGGCGGTTTCAGGATGGGGGAAGCTTAGGGGGTTTCTTTCTCAGTCTCTGATAGTGAGCTCACTCTGTTCACACTGTCCTAAGGATACTTCAGAACTGCATCTTTCTGGAGTCCCCTAGAAGAAACTTAAAAGGTCGTGTTCAAAGTACTTTTTCACAAGTAGTAAAGAGGTCAGGGCAGTTCTCAGCATTGCAGCTGCAACTCGAGGATCAGGGATTTTTCCAGGTTGAGATTTGCCCCTTCCAGCACTTTTACCCCTTTGGGCTCCTTGTGAGTGCCAAGTGCCTCATATGAAGGGACACTTGCATACAGACACTTATGTTTGTTTTGTAAATGGTTTTAAAAGAATGACAAGGGAATTGCAAATGGACCTGAGCAAAGATGGGAAATGACAACAAAAGGAGAAGACACTTCAGCAACACAGGAGGGATGTGGACCTGCTCGAGTGAGTCCAGAGGAGGGCCACAGAGATGCTCCAAGAGCTGGAGCACCTCTGCTATAGAGACAGGCTGAGAGAACTGGGATTGTTCAGCCTGGGGAAGAGAAGGCTTGGGGGAGACCCTGTAACAGTCTTCCACTACCTAAAGAGGACCTACAGGAAATCTGGAGAGGGGCTTTTTACAAGGATCTGTAGGGATGGGACAAGGGGAAATGGCTTCAACTGGCACAGGGGAGATTGAGATTAGATATTAGGCAGTTCTTCCCTGTGAGGGTGCTGAGGCGCTGGCACAGGGTGCCCAGAGAAGCTGTGGCTGCCCCATCCCTGGCAGTGTTCAAGGCCAGGTTGGACACAGGGGCTTGGAGCAACCTGCTCTAGTGGAGGGTGTCCCTGTCTGTGGCAAGGGTTGGAACTGGACGAGCCCTTCCAACCCAAACCAGTCTGGGATTCTGTGGTGTAATTGATAAGAGACAGGGGAGCACTGAGCTTTTCCAGCATCTCTGCAAGGTCTGCCAGGTTTTACTCATCCCTCAAGTTACACTGACAGCCCCTTGCCTGTGACATTCAGAGGGGGCACTACCCATGGCTGGGGGGGGACTTTGATGTGCTGCAGAGGCTGCTGCCCTGCTCTCTGTGCTGTGCACCTGCACTAGCTCTGTGCTTATGGGACCAGGGTGGTTTAATTAAAGATGGCAAAGCCACTTCCAGAGTCAGCTCTGCAAAGCATCGGCTGCACGTGCAGTGCCTGCAAGCCACTGACATGGCGTGTGTTGGCCCACTTCACTGGCTGCCTGCGGCTCCTGAAGTGCTTTCAGAGAGCAATCACTTCCCAGTGTCGAGTGCTCTCAATTGCCCGTATTTCTGGAATTCGTCAAGTCTTCCCCCAACACCGTTCTCCTTTCCAGCTGAGAGCTTTCCATGTCCAGGTCCCCACTGCGCGTCCCTCTAGGAAGCCGGAGATGCAGTTTGTAGTGGGACACCTGCATGTGCCAGGCAGTGACAACAAACCCTTCCTGCAGAAAAGGCATGGTGGTGGCACTGATTGCAGAGGCTCCAGGGGCACACGTGTGTTGGGGTCACGGTTACCGGGTGGGCAGCTGGGGCTGTCCTTGTAGCCCCCAGATGTGGCTGAAAAGGGGGCTGGCGCTCCGCCATCCAACACAATCCAAACACAATCAAGGAACCCCAGAGACTGGGGGAGTTTTCCCACATGCCCCCCGAGCAGCCTGTGTGCCTGACTGCCATCTGTCTCCCCCAGGTATCTCTCAGCCACGAATGCACTCGCGCCATCATGAAGCTGATGTACTGCCCGCACTGCCGGGGCATGTCCAGCGTGAAGCCCTGCAACAACTACTGCCTGAACGTCGTGAAGGGCTGCCTGGCCAACCAAGCAGACCTGAGCACCGAGTGGAAGTACCTGATGGGTAAGGTGGCCTTCCTCTGCTGCAGCACGGCTGCTTCTCACAGCACCTTTTGAACTCTCTGAGGCAGTGTTTGGTGGGTAAAGAAGGTACTGTTGGAGGCTCTTTCACGCTATGGTTTCTCTGTCTGTGATCTGATGCCTGGAAGCTACTGGATGACATTTTGTGGGCTTTAATACTGTTAGAAAGAGCACTGCTGGCAGGGATAACAAGGGTTTGAAGAGTTTTCATCTTGCCTGTGCTCATTTGGGATTGCCCACACTTTGCATTCAGGTAATTCTTCCTTCCCTCCCAAGTGCTGAATCTTAAGGACAGATCCTTCCACCTCTACACTGTCAGAGCTGCCTCCTCATTCATAGCAGAGCACTTGTGAGAGCACAGGAGAAGCACTTCCTGCCCTCCTTGGGGATAGTCCAGAGATAGGAAGCCATAAACTGCTTCCATGAGTGGAGAGCAAAGGGATCAGAATCATGTACATTTAAATGGAAATAGGTGTCTTGAACAAACATATGGGGAGGGGGAATTTACAGCCATCACCAGGAATGGGAAAATTAGACTTGTATTTTAAATAAGAGTTCTTTTTGGGTTTGCTGTGTCACTCAGCTAAGATGATGGGTATTTTAAAGTGGGTTGTATGTGTATAGAGGTGTCATTTGCATTGAGTTTAAAGCAAAAAACATCACTGTGACAGTGTGGTCTGGTCTCCTGTGCAGCACTGGCTGGAGAACTTCAACCAGGCTTTTCTGCAGGAAAATCCTGCATTGCTTGATCAGACCCAGGCATCTCTTTTATGAAGACCTCAGGTGTCACTCAGCTGATCCTCCAGAACCTGTGGTTCCTGGTTTAAATGTGAACTGTGGCTGAGAGTAGGTTGTGGAGCTGAGAGACCTGATTAAGGCTGGTGAGGGTCTGTGTTTAGAAAACAGTGTGTTTGTGTTACAGCACACATCTGAAGTGCGTCAGAGGAGGTTGTTTGCAGTGGTAAAGCTCTCACTCCTCCTTGTGCCCAACATCCAACAAAGCTCCTCTTTCTCTCCCAGGTTGTACATTTAGACCTGAAGGAGCCTTAATGTTTGCCTGGGCTCATGGAAAGCAAGCACCAGAGGAGAAGAGCTTTGGGCTTGGCTTTTTCCCTTGCGTTGGCACTGGCTGCCTGGCCAGCAAGACTGCCAGCTCACTGGCTAGCTACAGCCCAACAGGCTGGCTCAGCTTCGCGTGTGGCACAGTTAACAATAAAAACCCTGCTGAGGCTCAAGGAGTGTCATCTGCCTCTCAAGGGACACTGCAAAGTAAATATGGAACCCAGAGGCCAGTGCATTTGCTCAGGGAGGTGCATTGGTGGCAGCTGCCCACCTTGCTCTAATGATATTGGGGGCTAACGAACTGAGTGGTATCTTACTGCAGCTAATTGGGAGTGCTACCCACGCGAGCAACTTGGGAGGCTGCTGCAAAAGAGAGGGAGGAATATTCCCTTCCCGAAGGGCTTACACCGGGACTTTGATGGTGCTTTGACCTTCCTGACCAGAGCAAGCCAACTATTACCTGTCACTGCTGCCCTGGCAGGATGACTGCCCTTCTCCCAGAAGGTCAACATACAGCTCGCCCTGATTGACAGGGAGGCAGTTCTGGGTGCATTTTGCACTTATTCCGGCTTCCTCTTCCTCAAGGGACACTGTCAGGGGGTGACAGCTAGGAGGAAATTGGATCTTCTTTCAAACTGTAGTTGTACATTTGAGTGTCAGAGGTCACAATTTGATCGAGGACTGGAGCAAAATTTAGAGTTAAAGGTAGCAGTTCGCTGGCGTCCATTCTTCACCCTTCTCCAGGCCCTTCTGTGTGGCTGGAGTTACACAGTGCTACTCTTTCAATTTGACAAATTAGGGCAGGTCAAATTAAGAGAGATTTTTATAGTAAGTGGTGGTTCAGACATAATGTATCACTAATTTGGGGGTGCAGCCTTTGATTTAAATGTCTGTATCTTATAATTAGTGCCTCTGCAAGCTCAAATTGTCTGGAAAATACAGTCTCAGAGATGACACTGCAACTCCTGAGTGGCAGCAAAGTTAAACTGAAAGCTTTTTAATGCTGTAGGAGATGTTATTTCAGTGTTACCCCCTTGTGTGGCATGTTTAGCTTTAGAAATCGGAGCTGCCATAGGACTGTGCTGCAGGAAAAGAGAGCACATTAACTTGGAAACTGTGTCCCTTGTTTCTGTTCTTGCTTAAGCTAACCAGCTTTTTTCTTCTCTTGTTTTTTAAGTGTGGAAAGTAAATACATAATGTTTGCAAGCTGTGACTTTGCATGTTGTTAAATCCTATGTTATAGATCTGAGCAAAGAGTGTTTTGTGATCTATGCTCCAGACTGGCTGAGGTTTGAGCCCTCCCAGTTGTTTGACTATTGCCCTTGCTCCCCATAGGCCGGACCTGCTTTCGGACTGTGAGCCCTGTGGGCCTGATCTGGTATCTGCTGTGGGTTTGCCCCTTATCTAGTCTTTACCTGGTTTAATCATTCTCTGAGAGCTGTCAGGGTCTGACCATCAATTGTGTAACAGCAGAGAACAGACTTGCAAGGGTTGAGCATGCTGTTAAATTGACAACAGTGTGCTCAGGATCAGACCTTCATTACTAACACACTACATCCACTGTGGACCTAGTGTTGGTGCACAGACCTCATCTACAGCTCATATACGTCATTTGGGGTCTAGCTACTGCATCCTGCTGGCTTGCCCAGGCAAGGGACTGAACACTTTCCTGACAGGTTTGAAATGGGGTGGTCCATGGTTGTGCCGCAGCGGGCTGGACTCCTGCTCGGAGGAAACCTGCTGTGTGGCTCAAAGATAAGCATCAGTCCTTTAAAGCGGTATCACATGTGACACACACCCACTGTGGGATGGTGTGGGTTGAAGGACACGTTTCACTGATACTCTGTTGAACTGCCAGGGGTAATTCACCTGGTGGTTTCATTGCTCATGAATAATGTCAGCAGAACCAGCTCATGCTGAATAAGTTTCTCTGCAACATCACACCATCTGCTCTGACAGGCTTCTGCCAGGCTGATGGGTGAGGTATCAGGATTTAGGACAGAATTAATCACTCCGAATGAATAACTCCATTTACAAATGGAACAGATCTCCAACCTAGACCCTGGGATTTGACCCTCTTTGTGTAGAGAAGAACCAACATAAAGCCATCACACTTGTTTTCTTCCATGTGGCAAGGCCACAGGAACATGAAGCATTTTCTGTTCCAGATGAGCACGGGCCACCCCAGCGCTTTGACGCATCCCTTGTCCTGACAGAAGGTTTCTGATGTGCCCTGGGAGGATGCAGACCACACTGGAGCCATCTGAGGTCACACATAACTGAATGCCAAGTCCCTAAAAGCCAATGAAACATATGCATGGCCTGGCCTCAGGGCTACTAAAGCACAAGTGGTAGGAAACCAAGGCAGCAGCAGCATAGCAGTGACTTTCAGAACTGCAGTTTTTGACTGGCAAAGTCAGACCTGGTTAAGATGGCATTTTAGATATCCAAACCCAGTTAGGGGTTTGAGATCCTGTTTAAATCTCAGTGGATACTGAGGATGCCAGTTTTCCTCTGCATTCCCCAGTGCCCCAAGGCTTATCCCAGCAGCATGAGCACGATCTTGAACATGGTTTGTGCAGAATCTGATCAGAGATGTCTGTCTTGTTTCACTAGATTCCCTGGTCGTAGTGGCTGATCGGATCGATGGACCATACAACGTCGACACTGTAATAGGGACCATTCACATGAGGATTTCTGAAGCTATTTCTAACTTGCAAGAAAACAAAGATTCGATCACAGCCAAGGTATGAGCACGTGCCTGGGTCTGGGTGAGGATGCACATTGTGTAACTGCCAGGACCACGTGTTTTTTGTGCTCGCTATTCAGCTGAACTGAAGAAGATGAAGGATGAAGGAGGTCAAATGCCCACTCTTTAAATGATAGGAAACCACCCATCTTATGCAGGCACAAACCTTCTCAAGGACGTCCAAATATTCCTGCCTGCTACAACCAGCCCAGCCGCCTTTAGATACAGACACACAAGGTGGGACTGCATATGCAGTGGCTGTGGGAGGCATGGTACCATTTCCTGTTAGGTGCCTCTGTATCTGAAGAGTCTTGGAGTATTTTGGCTGAGCTGAAGCACTTACAGACAGTGCACAGTCCCTAGAGACAGAAGGCAGCTGCCTTAACCTGCCTTGAGGTGATGTTCTGCAGTGGAAACACTGGGCTATCAGGTTATATCTGTGGGACAGAGCTGCAATCTGGCAATCCATCTGGAGAGTATAAAACAGGCTCTCCTGATGCTCAACTGTCTTTCAAGAAGCATATCATGAAGCTCTCTTCTATTAGTCTTCTATTTTTAGTACATTTATCTACTTAACCACAATCATCTCTGTAGCTGCAGGAAAGAGAAGCTTTGGGAACAAAACCAGCCCTCCAGGGTTTCTGCTTTTTTGCCCAGACATTCCCCAAGTCCTGCAGCTATCCCACAGCTAGGGTGGAGGTGCAGATGAAGAGAGTGGGGCAGGTCCTAACTGGGTCTTGGAGAAGGGAAGGGCCAGAAGTATTTCTTAGCCAAGCAGGAATTCGCCGGCACGTGTCAAAGCACCACCAGCAGCATGCATCCAAGTACTCGTTAAGGTCTCTCTTCTGACATGAAAGGCCATGTTCTTTCTTCCCTTGTTAGGTGAGACTAGGGTTGTCCACATAAAAGCAAGCCCATAATGTGAGAAGAGATGTCATCATCTGCAAAGGAAGGTGTTTCTGAGGGTTGTGGAGTAAATCTGGAAAATGAAGAGGAGTAAATAGTCTTAATTGGCGTTCAACTGGAGCAACCAAACATGTTTGATAAGCTTCTCAGTGTGATCTGGTGACCAAATTGACTTGGTGCTGAACTGCCATAGGTGTTGGATCCATCTGGTCAGCAGAGAGCCCAGGAGGGGGCTTTCTGGGCTGAATGTCCCTCAGACACACCAGTGAGACCAGCTGAAGGTCTAGATTAGGACTTGCTGATGGCTGTCAGAATCCATTAGCAGAAGCATACAGCAGCTGCTCCTGTCTGAGGTCTTGATTTCTCTGTTTTAAGGGAACACCGTGCAAAGTCGAATTTATCAATAGGTTCTGACAGCACCCTGGTAACCACAAGGAGTTTGGAGCCATCTTTTCAAATCAGGTGGCTTGCTTTGTAAAGGCTGGTGTATCCCAAATCAAACTGAAAGTGCAAAGGCCCTCCTGCTCGTTGACACTTGATTCAGTCTGGCTCTCTGCGGACTCTGTCCACCAGCCCCAGTGAGGCTCAGTTGCCTGAACACTGGCTACCTGCGGCAGATGTGTTGTGTGGACTGGTCATGCAGAGACTGGGAGAAACAGCCACCCTTCATCTCTTCCTAGAGGCAAAGTCTGAGGATTTGTACCTTCAAAGCGCTTCTGCTCTCCTTTGGCTACAAAACACGCCTGGGCAGGTAGTTAGAATGATAGGAGGTACCCAAAGTAGATGGGTTTGGCTTCCTCATTTGCCCTTGAAACATCCAACCTCATACAGCTGGACACTTCTACTGTCTCGCACTCCCTGTTGGAGAGGGCACTCATTTGCTGAGTGTGGGTGCCACCTGCCACCTCAATCTCTTACCCAAACCAGTGACTCTCTCGTGCTCTGCAGTCCTGAAGCCCACACCACTGGTGTGATGAGTGTGAGCAACTCCCGTCTTGTTCTTCCCAGAATCTTATTTTTCCATCGTAATAGGAACATATAAAATGGCAAGTAATAAATTAGCGTCAACATTTCTGACTCATCCAAAAACCTGTGCTAATTTCGTGTTAGTACTGAATGCTTTGCTTGATAGCAGTAACCAAAACCACTCACAGTGTGCTGAAAACACACCCTGGCACAAGAGTAACCTGACCAGAAACTAAGCCAGAATCTCAGACATCTTGCTCTTAGGAAAGCACACTTAAGAAGACAAAAAAACATAGCTGTGGCATGCTAATTACTTAAAGAAATAGTATCAAAACATGGATCAGAGAGTTTGGTTTGTTTTTCAGGTTTTCCAAGGCTGTGGAAATCCCAAAATCAGCACAAAAGGCTCCAGCAGTGAGGACAAGAGAAGGTGGGGGAAAGTGGCATTGGAAGCAAAGTCCTCTGCACAAGCACTGGAGATGCTGGTGAGTTTGCCTTGGAAGCAGGTGTGCTGGTGCACTGGGAGCCCGGCTGGAGCAGCACTGGGTCCTGCGGGTCGGGTCAGACCACCCCTCAGGCTGCTCTGTCACCTTTGCTGGTGAGTCTGAAGGAGATCAGATCAGTGATTGCTGGCATGACTTAAGCAGGTCTGACCTTGCCACTCGGCACAGGGTCGAGGTTTAGGTTGCTGATAACCAGTTTCTCAGAGGTTTGATGCCAAACTGAAAAGACACCTTGCCACTGGTGTTGCTCAGCCTGGATACTGGGGCCAGAGGTCCTCCTCTATGAGATTCTGGATTCTGTGGACAATGAGCTGTGGGATCTGCCATGGTCCCATGTTCCACACACTCCTCACTCAGAGGCACTTGCCTGTCCCACCCTGGCAGAGTCCTGCTGGCTCCCACCAAGACTGCTTCTCAGCATTGCCTTCATGGGCCCACAAGCTGATCTTCTGGTTATTCTTATGGTACCAGAGCAGTCCTTAAGCATGTAACCTTCAGTCTTGGGTGCTTGGGTTAATGGTTGGTCTTTAGGGGAAGGTTGGTGACACATCCCTGTCTGCATAGAAACAGACTTTGTGATAGTGCAACAACAAAAACCAACAAATAGGCAGAATCCTATTCTGGGGCACCCCGGAGCTCTCCTGGCCCTGAGCATCCTCTTTGTTTACAGGTTTTAGATGCCAAAGGGAATCTGACAGCTCTCAAGACTTACTGGATCACCCTGCCTGGGAGCCTGTGCAGCAAAAAAGTAATGGCCAGCTCAGTGGCAGATGACAAGTGTTGGAACGGGATGACCAAGGGCAGGTATGGAGAGGGTCGAGGTACCAGGATAGTAACGTTCTGGGGTGAGGGAGGGAGGGTTTGATAAAAGGCAGTTACATCTCATCTCAGCCAGCCCCACTTGTTCAGACTGAGCTGAAAGGTCTGTTCCTGGCCACAGAAATGCTGCGTTTCCTGAAAAACTAGTACTTGGGAATGTCAAACCTGTTGTCATTTTGCTGTGTGTAGGGGAGTTAAGCACTGAAATGTGAAATAACTTCTGTAGTTTTGTACCAGTGAAGCAGTTTCGCAATTCCACGTACACTCAGAAGGCAGAAGGGCTGGATTTGCCTCACAAATTCCTCTTGTTTGTGAGGTTGAGCTGTGGTGTTTGAGCTGTTGCTGGAGTTGCCTTTCTATCCCTACCTGCTCTGAAATGCTTTTTCCTCATGAGAGGAGGCACCTGGGGTGACATCAACAGCTGCAGGGTGTGACATCAACATCTCCCACCTGGTGGTTAGAGGATGGTGGCAGGGAGGGGAGATGGGGTGGACATGCATGTTTCTCTGCTCCTCCATGGACCTGCTGGGTTGGTCTCTGCCAGCCTGAAGCCAGCACCTTTGGCTCTTCCATATTTCATGCCCTTTCCTTGCCAGCAGTGCTGCAGATCCACAGGAGCAGATGGGCTGAGGCGCTGTGGAAGGGAGCAGCACAGCTCTGTTTGCTGATTGATTCCTAGTTAATGGAAGCTTCCCTGACAGCCTGTCTGATCATACCAGTTTGGGGACATTCAGTCATCCCAAGGTGTCCATCCCAACAGGCTTTAACTGGGGCTGAAGGTGCTCTTCATCCTTCCATATACACAGAGCTTTTTCATAAGACAGTGTCACCATGGCTCCACAGGTACAAGCCTGAGAGCAACCCCTCAGCCCTGCACACAGTCTCTCCCATAGGAAACTCCTCCCCATGCCAGGACATTGATGCTGCAAGGCCACCAGCCACCTTTTGCAAGCTGAGGTGGTCTCAGAGCAAGCCCCAGGCTCTGATGGAGTCTGGCTGTGTCAGCATGGCTCAGCCATCCACAGAGCAGGCAGGAAACACCAGCATATGGAGGCTGTTCACAAGCCAACGCCACTGATGCAGCTTCTCTGGGGATCACTCTGAGGTTATCACTGGCGTCTGTAATGGGGAGAGGTGAGCTTAGCTGGGAAGAAGCATCTCAACTTGTCTCCTTCTTTCGCAGTTACCTGCCTGAAGTGATGGGGGACGGCTTAGCTAATCAGATTAACAACCCGGAGGTAGAGGTGGACATCACCAAGCCAGATATGACCATTCGCCAGCAAATCATGCAGCTAAAGATCATGACAAACCGGCTGGGCAACGCTAACATTGGGAATGATGTGGATTTCCAAGACGCAAGTGAGTTCAGCAGAACCAGAGAGGTCCATGGCAGGCTGAGGGGCTGAGCAGTCAGTCCTGGGGGGTTGTGGCACCCTGGCTTATGGCTCAGGGCTGCAGGGGCTCTGTTTGAGTGCAGACAACTTGCTGTGGGGTGGCTGGAGGCTGCGCTGCTGAAACCCGGGGTGCTCTCTCTAGTCCCAGCCCAGCCCTGCTTGATGGGGCCATTGGTCCTGTCTGCTCTGGAGGTTTCTGGTGGTTAAAGTCAACTGGAGATCAGGTATGGGCTTGATTCTCATGGTGGGGATGGAGGAGGAAGGAGGTGGCAAGGGCAGGGCTGGTGGCCAGCACTCCCTGGGGTTGCAGCAAGGGGAGGGAAGGAACATTGCCCACCACAAGGAAAGCAGTTGGGGCTCACACTGTGCCTTTCTCATGCTCACCCATGTTTGTCTCTGCACAGGCGACGACATGAGCGGCTCTGGGAGTGGTGACAGTTGTCCCGACGATGTCTGTGGCAAAAGACTCTCTAAGAGCCCCAGCACCAGGCAGCCAGAAACGCATGCTATTCCTAAGCAGTCTGGACATGGCATCAATGGGGCCAGCAGCAGATCTTTGCCTTCTGCCTTCCTCCTCTTCCTTTCGGTGGCTTTCATTGCCGCGCAGCACTTGTGGCGGTAACTCTCTAGCACAGCCAGGAAAGAGACTGCGGCCGAGGGCTTCACTTCGCCAAAACCAACCAACCAACAACCAAAGGACGTATTTAATTCACCTTGGCAAAAAAAAAAAAAGGAAAAAAAAAAGGAAGAAAAAGTAAGAGGGAGGAGAAAAAGGTTTCTGTTTTTTGCTATTTCTGGCAGTGCTCGAGCTGTTTTCTTCTTTCTTGGTCTTCTCCCCAGTGCTGGGCCCTTCTTTCCGTACCTCATTGTTTTACTTTTGTTACTGCCACAACCTGGCTTTCGGGGCTGAAACAAGCCTTTGCCGAGAGGCCTCCAGGGCAGCTCTTGTGCTGCTCGGCCTCCAGTGGAATATGCAATTCATGCAATTGCTCTGATCTCATCACCCAGCCGCTGCCGGAGCGCCGCGTGCCATAGAGCTGCCCAAGCC